TAGATTCACACCGAAAAACATAAGGATTTTTATTCATGAATAACTTGGGTAACAAATGCTTTAAATATTAAAAATTTGGATGTTCTAATCGATAATGCCATAACATAATCTTACTGTCACTAGAAACAGAAATAGAATTGAAACATGTCTGTTGATCCAAAAGTTGATCCGTTATTAAAGAGGTAAAGACCACTATCCTATTTAGCACCCCTAATCATCTTCCCTGAGGTTAAATCCTGAAATTCACAACGAGAAGACCAAAAATTAACTTGACAATTATGATCAAGAGTCAATTTACTGATAGACGAGATTATATGACAAATGGGGAACATGCAGAACATTTTTCAAAATTAGAGAAGGGGAAATGGTAATTGTTCCTTTCCCAGCAACAGTAGCAAAGGATCCATCTGCAATTTTAACTCTTTGATTCCCTGCACAAGGTGTATATGAAGAAAAAAATTGCGAAGTGCCGGTCATATGATCGGTAGCACCTGAATCTAATATCCAGGAGCCATTAGACTTGGTACAAGCGATGGCTGCAGTGAAAGAGTTGCCTGACTGTGCTAGAGAACAAGATGAGTTAGAATTTCCTAAAGATTGGGACTGAAACATTTTATGTAGGTGCTCTATTGTTCCTTTGTAAAAGGAAGGGGCCCTAATGAAGATTCCTGCTCTGGATCAGTACGGCTAGCTTGGAATGCGCGGACATCTCCCCCTGACTTGGTCACTGCCGGGTCTTTTCTTCCAATTTGCCAGTTTCCCGTGTAGCTTCTAGCAATTTTCCCGAGTATGCCACGGCTTTCTACAATGGTTACACCAAGGCCTCTGCTTACCTCCACGCCTATCTCCTTCTGAATCTCTACCTCGAACCACAAGAGCAGATCCCTCGCCATCTATTTTTGGTTCATCGATGTTCTTCAACATCACTTGCCGCCGTGCTTCCTTTCTACGCACTTCTGCAAAAACTTCTCTTATCGTCGGCAAGGGTCTTTTACCTAATATACGTCCTCGAACCTTATCGAGTTATTTATTCAAACCAGCCAAGAACACAAATACCAGGCCTCTCTCAATCTTCTTTTTGTACCGAGCACTATCATTCGAATTTTCCCATTGTTCATCTTCAAACATATCCAACTCCTGCCAAACCGGCATCATATCATTATAGTAGGCTGTTACCTCATGGTCCCCTTGCTGCATCTTCCACATTCGAGTGTTCAATTCGAACAATTACGAATGATTGTCCAAATCTGAATAAGTTTCCCGGACTGCCTCCCAAACATCACGAGCCGTCGGCAAGAACATGAAGGGCTTACCAACAATTGGTTCCATCGAGTTGATCAGCCAGGCAGTCACCATTGAATTTTCTAAACGCCACTGCCTGTATTTTTTATCATTGGTGGCTGGCGGTTTTATTTCGCCATTCAAGTGCCCGAGTTTCCCTTTGTCGTCGATCACCAAACGTACATATTGAGACCACTCAAGGTAATTCTTTCCATTCAATTTGTGAATGGTAATTTGAAGAGAATGCTCAGAGAAAGAAACGGCCGAAATTGGCTGGGAAACTGCCTCTGATGAAGTCATACCACTTGTGGCATCTGAAGAGGCTGAACCATAGCCAACCATGGCGGCTTTAAAATTCATGATCGAGCCCTAGAGCTCTGATACCATATAGATATTCACAGAGGAAGAAAGGAGAGAATAACTCTCTTATTCATTGTATATATTACAAAGAAATAAAACATCTTTAAATAGAAAAGAAGGTAATACAAGGCTAACCCTAGGATCCCATATAATAAGGGATTTTATTCTATCACTTGATCCTAGGATATAACTTTCCTAATTTATTCAAATCTCTAATAATCAAATCCTAACCAAATATTCCTGATTTACCGACTTCCTACTACTAGGACACGGAGTATAAGTGTTGAAATACTGTGAGGCGTGAGTCATGTGATCTGTGGCTCCTGAGTCAATTACCTAATAGTTGGTCAAACACTTTTCTGAGACGTAAAGTCCAAAAGGCAATGAAGACTTACCTGAGAGTGCCAATGAACATGTACCAGAAGGCTTCTCAAGAGAACCTATCAAGCCCCTAAGTTTTTCGATCTCTTCACTATTGAGTCCTCCTTTCTCCTGTCCATCACTCTGATTGGTTTGTTCTGTCAGATGAGCCTAAGATTGAATCCTCTGCTAACCTCCACGATTTTCCCATTCTCGGCTAGGTGGTTTACCATTTAATTTCCAGCAATTCCCCTTGGTATGTCTCGGTTTTTTACAATAGGTGCACCACATATTATCCTTCTTGTCCCTCTATTGGTTGTTTTTGTTGTCTCTTCCCGAGAACCTTGACAGATCTGCTTTCCTTCTTTCTTGCACCTGAGGTTGTTCAGTTTTTGTTACCAAGGCTGAACTGTCTAAAGCCTATGGCTCAAGCATTACACCTCGACTCTCTTCTGCACGAATTAGAGAAATCGTCTCCTCCAGGGAAGGTGTTTCCTCTTTGCCGAGTATTTGAATCCTTACTCAATCAAATTAAGGATTGAGTCTAACCAGGAAATCATATACTCGATCCTTCTCAATAAAATTCTTCAAGACGGCAGCATCTTCTGGGCACTTCATCTCAAATACCCAATAGTGATCGAGTTCCTGCCATAAGCTCTGTAGTAAATTAGCATATTTTGTCACTGTTTTGCTCCATGTTTGGCAGCACTTGTCTTCACTTTATCTCATACACTTGGGCTGCATCATGCGCTTTTGAGTAGGTTCGCCGAATGGAGTCCCAAATCTCCTTTGCAGTTGTCAAAAACATACAAGTATCACTAATTGCAGGATCCATTGAGTCCTATAACCATGACATGATCATAGAATCAGCTTCATCCCATGCTTCAAACGTCGGATATCTCCTTTCTTTGGTCCTGTCCCGAGAAGATGACTCAGCCTCCCCTTACGCTTCAGGTATGTTCTAACAAACTAAGACCGCTTGAGATAATTCTTCTCATTCAACCTATATGTAGCTCAAACATTCTGCAAGTCTCCAATCATCGAATGTGAGTTGACTTCGTCAGATGAAGCAGAAGTGCTCACTTTATAGTGTTGAGAAGAGACAACCGTGGTTTCAGAAGCCATGATGATCTAGGACAAAAAAGGAGGAAAGTGAGGGCTTGAAACGTAGCAATGAAGGTTGCAGTCAAATCCAGACAAAAAAGACTCTGTTTCAAGTTTGTAAACCAGAGAAGAACATGACACTGTACTCAACAATTAAGGCTAAAACCGGAAGAGGAAAAACAAAGCAGCGATAAAGGCTGCACAAAGGTAGAAACCCAGAAAAAGAGGCCTAGGGCTCTGATACCATAACGCAGAAAAGAGATTGAGAATAAGGTTTTTCTTATTCAATTGTAGTTGTAGGTTACAGCAATATATAGACTATTCTATGAAGCAAAAAAATGAAACTAAACTGACTGCCTAAAATTAGGAAATTAATGCTAACGTTACAAATCCCATAATTCATGGGATCAACATAAAATCCTAACTTTAATATATACATGTTGATTGACAACTATACAATCCGACACTCCCTTGACAACTGCACAATCCGACAGCATTATATGGGCTTAAACAATCTCCTCAGGGAGATTCACCAAAGCAATGTTGGCTATGAACTATAGACAGAGCCAAGGGGATCATACACTATTCATCAAACACTCAGCTTCAGGGGGAGTTACTGCCTTGATAGTGTATGTGGACGATATTATCGTGACTGGGAATGATCCGGAGGAGAAGGAAGCACTGCAGAAGTATTTGGCAAAAGAATTCGAGATAAAAGATCTCGGGAAACTAAAGTACTTTCTGGGAATAGAAGTTGCTCGGTCCAAAGAAGGGATTTTTGTCTCACAACAGAAGTATGTCCTGGACTTGTTGAAAGAAACGGGCAAATTGGGGTGAAGGCCATTGGACTGTCCTATTGAGCCGAATCATAGACTAGGAAAATCCATGGGAGGAGAACTAGTTGACAAGGGCATGTACCAGTGACTTGTTGGGAAGTTAATCTATTTGTCACACACGACCAGACATCACATATGTCGTGGGTGTAGTAAGTCAGTTCATGCAGAATCCTAAGGAAAGTCATCTTTTTCCGGTGTACAGAATCTTGCAGTACTTGAAAGGCTGTCCTGGAAAAGGAATTCTGTTCAAGAAAGGCACAGGGATGGAACTTGAAGCTTACACGGATGCAAATTATGCTGGTTCGGTTACTGACAGAAGATCAACATCTGGGTATTGTACTTTCCTTGGTGGAAATTTAGTAACTTGGAGAAGCAAAAAACAACCGGTGGTTGCCAAGTCCAGTGTAGAGGCAGAGTTTCGTTCTATGGCACAGGGGATTTGTGAGTTGTTATGGCTCAAGATTATACTAGATGATCTGAAGATAAAGTGGCAGACACCGATGAAGTTTTACTGTGATAATAAGTCTGCAATCAACATTACTCACAATCCAGTCCAACATGACGAGACTAAACAAGTGGAGGTCGACAGGCATTTCATAAAGGAGAAGCTAGAAATGGGTTAATAAGTACTCCCTATGTTTCTACCAGGGGCCAGCTAGCAGATGTTCTAACTAAGGGTCTGGCGAGTTCAACATTCCAAAGAATCATATGCAAGCTAGGAATGGAAAATATCTATTCTCTCGCTTGAGGGGGAGTGTTGGAAATCTAGGATTACATATCCCAAAATAGTATGAGAAGATTTGTATCAATACATAGGCAAGATTTGTGTTGTTAAATAAGAAATTAAGCTGTAAATATCCTAGTTTCCTTATTCTAGAATAGTCAACTTCCTAAGATTGTATTGATAGCCTAGTGTATATATTTTGTATCCAAGTTCTTTGACGGGATGAATGAAAAATAATCTCTGATTTCCCACAGTAACAATGTAAAATATGTGTGTAATTGGAAACAGACTCATTTAGATTTTAACTGAACAAGGACAGCTAAGAGAGGCACTACCAGCACAACCCAATCACGTTCCATTGCAACCCCCAGTGCTACTCCAGATAGCCTCTCAACAGCTCCAGCTAGTATAAGTACAATAAACCAAGGACGAAGGAGCAAGGATGATCCAGAAGACAGAGGGACAGAATGAGCATGAATTATCATAGTTGCAGATAACAATTGAGCAGCAGCCTGACAGAGACAAGTTTGTAAGCCTGTTAGGAGAAAAATATAGTGATAACCTGGATTCAATTAAGCTATGATCCAGAAGAAAAATGAAACTAGTTACCTGTATAACGTTTAAATAATTATATGTGAGGACTCTAGGAAAGTAATCTAGAAACTTGCCAGCTAAAGGGCCTCCAACAATTATTGCAACCTGTTAAACATGAGACATAACTTGTTATTTTAGTATATTCTCCTCTTTCTTGCCCATATATGGTTAACTTCACTACACTATATACATCGCAACCTTAGAGAAGAAACCCATGACTGCCACCGGTAGAAGGCTAGGATGTATCAATGCTATAGCGGATGGCCAAGCAAAACTCCAAAGCTGTTCCACTAAATTTCCAGCCAAGCAACTAGCATATAAAGCTGAAACATATGTCACTCTGGTCAGAAATTATTCTGAATATACAAAATCACTGCCATATATTGTTTTCTTCATTTTATTGACCCATAAAATCAGCAATAAATAAGACTTAGATCAATTTATTGGAGGAAAGGTCTTATACTGTTGTTACAACATGCAAATGAAATTCTTTCAAATTCATTCCACACGTGCTTTGACTTGTTCAGTAAGAGGATCTTACCATATAATCCTGTTGGGTGGGCTGGAGTAGCCGCAAGGGCATGCTGCTCCTCCTCTGATAAAACCTGAGAAGTAAATAACAATTGGCGTAGACTTAATACATAACTCAAAACATAATAATGATGGAGATCACAATACTAGTTTCCGTTATTATGTAAGGCGCAAATATAGAAACTAGGATATTATTTTTATTTTCTTTCTTTTATTATATTTAGTTTTTGGTAACTAGTTATTTTCTTAAGTTAGTTTCCTATTATGTTTTGTTTCCCGATTGTACTCGGTTTCCTAATTGCATTTAGTTTCCCATTAGTGTTTGAATTGCCCATCTAAAAATAGGCCTAGTATTGTTCATTGTTTTTCAAAACTAATTGATTGATAATATAGATATTCAATTTTCCTATCTTTAAAGTTCTTCTCTTTCTCTCTCTAAATTCTCCTCTTCTTATACCTTAATTCTTCTTCCTTTTTTTTCCCTCTTTTTCCTTTTCTTCTTCTTCTCTCTTTTTTCCCTACTCAATCCTACATCAATTTGGTATCTGACCAAATCTTTCCTTGGCCTAAATTCTAAATTTTTTTCCCCTCACTTTCCACA